TAAAGGGGGATATAGAAGAGTGTTTAGATTAATAGGAATGTGAGGAAAAGGGTAGGATTCTTGGAGGTGGGGTAGGTTAAGGTAGGGCAAGGTACACATAGAAGTAAAGTGGAGGAGTTAGGAGAGGTAGGAAATAAGAGATATGCACAAACATAAAATAAAGATGAAGAGTAGAATTTGTGAGGGAAAAAGGAGCAGGGGTGGTTATCATGATCTTGGACAAAGTTATGACTAAAAATAGATTTAATCAAAAAAGAAAAATAGGTAAAATATATTATGTGTCAGCCATATTTATCAATGCTGTCTTGGACTATTTGAAACAACTAGACAGTATAAGGTGGGGATATTACTATGGAGTAGGAAATGATGAGTTGGTGAATTTGGAAAAATATGAAATTGGACTTATGAAGGAAGAGATTATCCACCCTCAGAGAAACAGAGGGCAAATAAGTATAGTGTGGTATTACATAGATCCATATGAATGTATATGTTTCTATATGACAATGATTATCAATATCTAACCATATGCATGTGTAAGTGTATGTATGCATGAATATATGTGAAATGTAATAGCGAAATATGTAACAAAATGAAAAATACAATGGAATGCAAGTAATATTAAAAGTGGTTTTGTAATTTCAATATGTAGTCCACAGGTATCCGTTGGAATGGTTTAGTGACCTCAGTTTCTATTGAGTTTGACACCATTGGTTTAGAAACCCACTTTACATCTTTGCTTAGAGATGAAAGATGTGGTACCTGTTCTGAGTCATTTTTTTGCTTTCTTTCCTCAGCATTTTGGAGGCCTACAGAATGAATGTGATCACCAGCACTTCGTTTGGTGTCAATGTTGATTCATTGAATAACCAGAATGATCCCTATGGTCAGAGAAACCAAGCAGTTAATTAGATTCATTTTTCTGGACCCACTCATGCTTATAATAAGGAACTTGGTTCTTCTTTACAGAAATGAATAATTAGAAATCCAGTGGTCCTTACATTCCTAAAGATAACTCAATAGATTGGTTCATAGATTTAGAGATGGAGATAAACTTAGAAGCCCTCAAGTCTAACCGCCTTTTTAACAGAGGGTTAAACCATTGCAAAGAGAGATTGCAACACAGTCTGGAGGTTCAATTCTTTAATTGCTATCTTTAGGGAGGGAGGGCTTCAGAGAGCAACTGAAGTAATCCTCAGGAGAAATGTTTGTTGATTTGGTCAGTCACAGGTAGCTTAGCAGTTGATCTAGAAGACCAGGGTTGGCATAGTACACCAGATTTTGGAGAGAGATTCCTTTCCATTGCTGGGCTTTTCATTAACTCCCATCAGTTGACAGATAATTGGTGACGTGGAAAAAGAAATGAGTAAGCCATAATACAATTTGTACCTCTGGTACCATCTCCCCATCTATGCTGCAAATAAAGGTGATAGCACCTTTCATAAAATTCTACAGTTTCATAAAGATTTTTTGTTGTTTTTCTTTAGTGCTCTTTCCATTCCTTACTTCTTTGTTTAAAAAATTAGATGTATCTCTATATCCAAAAGATGCAACAGAGTTCTTAGCAAGAGTAATTTAAAAAAAATAAAGGAAAAATGAAAGTAAGCAGGTCTTTACAATGATTAGAATAAGAACATGTATACCATCTAAATGGTTGTATTCTTTATCTTTAGAGTAGAGCAAAAAAACCCAACAACTTGTATTCCATTTCACTTGTGGTCATCCATGCTGACTACAAATATTTTTATGCAATTTCAATTGTCAGATATTTTTGAAGACTTTCTATAACACTAAGAATTGTTAGTGGCCTCTAAGTTAATTTCCAGCTCTGATTCTATGTTCCTATTATTTAATATTTACCAGACCTTGTGATCTACATCTCTGGGAATACAAAGGTAGAAAAGACATTGTCTCAGTTCTCAACTAATTTACAACCTCATAAGTGGGGTAAGACAGATACCCAACATTATACTGCCCATTATATATTATATAATATATTATATAAATTATATAATGTATAGCAGGAGCCTAATGATAGAGAAAATACCTTTCTCTTTCACTTATAGACTCTCAACAATACCAAGGACTACGTAACAATGGGCACAAAAAATTATAATTGTATCATTAGTGTTGTATTCAATTTCTCTGTATGAGCTTTTGGCCTAAATTTGGAACATTTTTCCTTTTCCCACAAAGCTTCTACTCTGAGGCCTTTTTATGGAAGGGCTATGACCCTTAATTCTTGGAGGCCAGGCCAGAAAAGTACAGCCTATTGTCGACCCCTGCAAGCTACAAAGTCTTCAAGCAGGAGCATGTTGGCTCATTGAATGTTTGCTGACATAGGACCAATCTAGCTGAGTTTGAGGAGGTACATTCATTGGTTGACCCTAGTGAGATCAATTTCCTTGCCTATAGTGGTCATGGAAAACCAGCCATGAAATAAGAATGTGATCAGTGGTGTCCACATCAACGATATAATAAATTTTGAAGCATTGTCTTTCTATCCTTTCTGTCAGACTTAAGAGAATTCATTTCCTGAAATACTTATTTTTTTTAAAAAAAGTTCTTCAGGGTCTTCTTCCCTTCCATCACCTTGAGCGGGTGATTGGGACAGAATCTTTTAAAGTTTAGGAATTTGATTTTAAGTCTTTATTTTATTCATTCGAGGCTGAGGCTCTTTAACACTCCAGGGTCCTTTGTGGACATGCTTTGAGGAGAATTCTAACTCTGCAACTGAGCTGAAGCCACACTGTCTCTAATCATTCAAATCTTCACTTGTCTATCCTGAAGCAGGCAAATTAATTTGCTATGTTCAAAGCAAATTTCTGTGTTCTCAAGTGTTTGCTCAGCATTGGTGGTTTCCATTATTATTATTATTTTTTTTTTTAGGCAATTGGGGTTAAGTGACTTGCCCAGGGTCACACAGCTAGTACGTGTCAAATATTTGGTCTGAGGCTGGATTTGAACTCAGGTACTCCTGACTTCAGGGTTGGTACTCTATCCACTGCACCATGTAGCTGCCCCTCCATTATTTTTCTAGCACCGGATTGATTTCCTTCAGCTGATGATAGATTCTCAGACTTCCAACAATTCAGAGAAGCACTCTCACAAAGGTAATTTGGGCATGAAAGTAGTCACAAATTGGAATCTTGAAGCCATTATCTGTGGAAGTATGAAAAATGTCCAATTTGCTGAAATGATATACCAAATGGCAATAATAATGACAATGATGATGATGATGTTACAGGGTTTTAAGATCTGCAGAGCACTTTACATATATTTCTTCATTTGATCTTCATAACAATTCTGAGTGCTTGGTGCAATTCTTATTTCTATTTTAGAGATGGGTAATCTAATGCTGAAAGAGTTGAAGCAACTTCTGCAGGATCAGAACTAGTAAAGCTTTGAAGTAGGATTTGAACTCAGGTCTGATTTACCTCTAATTCTAACACTCTGGGGTATCACCTAGCCATCCCAGAAAGATGCTTGACATCTAAAGGATGAGTGAAATGAGGACACTTTTCAAAATCATCATTTGAATTTGTAGTGGTTAAGTTAGTCTGAAGCATGGATAATGACACTGAAGTCCCTTTTTTCATCTCATAGCTAGGACAATGAGGCATAGTGAGGTGGAAAAAACAATATTTTGAAGAGAAAAAAATCTATGCTCTTCTCCTACCTGTGCTACTAAGTACTTGTGTGACCCTGGATACTTCATTTCACTTGTCTGGACTTGTTTGTCATAGGTAAAAGCAGGGTATGAGGCCAGATTATCGCTCAATTCTCTTCTAGCTTTAAATTCTATAGTTGTACTCCCTCCCTTCTCTAGACCATGTTTATTTGAGCTGAGATATTTGGTAGCTGGGTAGCACAGTGGAGTGCCAGACCTCAAGACCAAAAGACCTGAGTTCAAATCTGGCCTCTGGACTATCTATGTGACCATGGGTATGTCCCTTAACTCTGTTTACCTTAGTTTCATCATCTGTAAAATGGGCTGGAGAAGGTAATGGCAAACACCTCCAGGGTCTTTGTCAAGAATATGACAACTGGGGTCACAAAGAGTTGGACAGGACTAAAAAACAACTGAAGAACAACAACACAGGAAAGAAAAAAGAGACTATTTTGAGTTACAAGTTTCTCTAGCAATATAAAATTTGTGGGCTAACTTCTCAACCACAAGTAGGATATAGACTCTCCTGTGCTATACCTAAGCATGAGGAAGGTGGCATATTTTAAGGGAATGGGCAACTGGATTTGGGAGTCAAAAGGCCAGATTTTAGGCTCAGCTTTAGCCATTTAATAGCTTAGTGACTTTGGAACAGTCACGTAACTGCTCTGAATCACAATTGCCGTATCTGAAGAATGAAGAGAAGCATTCTTGCTTTCATGGACTTGTTATGGTGGTCAAATGAAATAATGTAGGTGAAATATAAAGAGTAGGCACTATGTAGATGTAATCAATGTTTGTTACCTTCTGGATGCCTTCATGTAACCCATCAGAGATAGGATATGGTGAGTACAGTGGAAAGGGTATGGTCCCTGAAGTCTGGGGAGTTAGATTTGGTTCCTACCCCTGCCATCTATGAGACTTTGGTAAAAATAATTTAACCTCCTCAAGCTTCAGTTTACTCAACTGAAAAATCAACATATTAGATTACATGGCTCTTGAGGTCCCTTTCAGTTCTACTTCTATAATCTCCTTCAAACATCTCTCCTCCATATTTGCTTCATTCCATACACAACCATCCTTCTACAGGTGCTTATCCCTTCTCCTCTAGAGCTTCCGTTAGAATTAACCTTTTTTCCTGCCTTTTTATGATAAATTTGTGTGGAAAATTCCTTTCATATCAATAAATGTATTTCACATCTCTTCTAGATGTTCTGGAGAGTCAGTAGATGCCTCTCCTAAATTCTTGTGATATTCCTGAATATAATAGCAAAGATATAATGCCTTTATCTGAGTTACTCTCTTGCCTCTATTTCAGATCTGAGTGATGAGGAAATCCTGGCCCAATCCATTATCTTTGTTTTTACTGGCTATGTATGGATCAGTTCAGTCCTTTCCTTCCTGTTTCACAACCTGGCCACTCATCCTGAGATCCAGCAGAAATTTCAGGGGTTAGATGCAGTTTTGCCCAACAAGGTGAGAGGATGGAAGGAATAGAAATATTCACACCCCCTTCCACCTTACTTCCTATTCACCACTTGTCTCATCTCCTAGTAGAAGCTTTATCAAAATCACCTTTGCTGACTATTTACCCATTATTGGAGCATCATCAGGATTTGAAAAGGCAAACGTATGTTGAGACACCATATGTTTACAAAAAGTTATCTTTGCACAGAATGAAATATCTCAGCAACTAGTGTCAACCCATGGAAAAGTTCTGAAAAATCTCATTTGTCCTTGGTTCACATAGTCACTTCAGAGTGCTTCCTCCACTTAATGACAGTCATTTCTCATCTCTTCTAATACTAAATATTCTTGTGATTTTGGGTCTCCTCTCTACTCTTCACCTATTCTCTTTTCCCTTTCCTCCTTGCATATTCCCCTTTCTTATTCCTTGCTTGTCCTCCCTTTCCCTACTCTCCTCTCATCTTCTCAGAATCTCATTCAGTCTCTAATATGAATGATAACAGGGGTCTTGGCCTCTGAATTCAAAAGGTTTAATGAATGGACATCAGAGTTTTTCCACAATGAGGAACCACCAATTGATGCACCAGGATAACCCTTCTTCATCACTCTTGGACCATCATAGGAACCCTTGAAGTCATTTCCCTATGATGTCAGGGGATAACCTTGAGGATGTATTGAAATAGACCATTTAAACAGTGATGAGTAACCAAGCTACAGTGGTGGCAGTAGAAATTCAGAGTACATAAATTCTTAAAAGTAGCCTTATAGATAACTTTAACCATCTAGAAAAGCCAAAACTGAACCACTACAATAATACTGAAAACAACTGGCAGCACGTAAGAAAATGGGGACAGATTCTGTCTTATCTTGGTTTGGGACCAGATTTTTTCTTGTATTAATAATTTTCTCTATCATTCTTCAGGTAGCCAGGATACATACATATATGTACATATACATATATATGTATACATGTATATGTATATAGGAATTAGGTGACTGCTAAATAGTGATTCTCCCATACTCCCTCCAAGCCCCATAATATTCTCTAAACTATATAGAAGTCTCAGAACAGAGATCTGATCAACAGAAGGCAACTAGTAATTCAATTTTCTTCAAAGTTGTGAAACATCTTGAATAGATTATGCTTATTGATTCTATAGAGTTCTTTAAGTATACTCTCAAATCATCTTCCAAGTGCAACAGCTTTCCCCCCCCCATTGCCTATTCATATTCCTTCAATATCTATTTTGCATCTATTGCTATAGGTAACATTTAGATACAATACTGAAAAATAAAGGTTATAATAGGCAACCTTGTTTCAACTCTGATGTTATTGGGAAGGATTCTAGTTTATTTCCATTACACATCATGCTTATTCTTGGCTTTAGGTAGGTGCTACTTATCATTTTAAGAAAAGCTCCATTTATTCTTATGCTTTCTATTCTTTTTAAAGAGATAGTATATTTGAAAAACTTTCTATGTCTATTGATACAAGCACACTGTTTTCTTTTCGTAATTGATATGGTCAATTGTACTTAGAATTTTTGAAATACTTTTTTTTTAATGTAAAGATTTTTTCTTACAATTTTTAAAACCTCTGTTTTGATTTTTAGTATTTTTTAGGTGCTTAAATGGGGATATTAAATTTGTTCTTTTTTCTAGATTTTTTTTTAAGCTTCATGCCCAATTCATGGATAGGCTCATTCTCTCTTTCATTGATCTAAGTGTTTAGAGATATAAAATTTCACCTAAGAAATGCCTTTGTAGCATGTCACAAATTTTTAATATTGCCTCACTGTTGTCATTATTTTTTATGGAATTATGGATTCATTTCTACGACTTGTTCTCTGACCCATTTATTCTTGAGTATTAGATTATTTTGTTTCCAATTAATTTTTCATCTGTGCTCCAAAGGTTCTTTATTGAATTGAATTTTTGTTTCATTATGGTCCAAAAAGAGTCCTTTCAATATATTTCCTTTTCTGGAATTGTGTGTGGAGATGTTATACCCTAATTCACGGTCAATTTTTTGTGAAGGTGCCATGTAGAAATGATGAAAAAAGTATTTTCTTTCCATTCCCGTTCCATTTTCTCCAGAGTTTTGTCATATCCAACTTTTCTAAAATTGTATTCACCTCTTTAACTCATTTATTATGAGTTAAACTCTATATTTCGTTTATTTTATGAACTAGATTTATCTAGTTCTGCATGGGGTAAATTGTATATCCCCAATGGTACAAATTTACTGTCTATTCTTCATTTAACTCTTCCTGTAAGAATTTGAATGTGTTTCCATTTGGTTAGCTGTGTTTAGAATGAATATTACTCCATAATCTATGGCATCTTTTAGCAAAATGTAATTTCCCTGATGATCTTTTTTAATTAGGTCTATTTTTAGTTTTCCTTTGCCTGATATCATGTTTGCAAACCTCCCTATTTTATTCCAGAAAAAGTATAATAGATTCCATTACAGCTCTTTATTTTAAATTCATGTTTGTGTGTTTCTTTTTCAAGTGTGTTTCTTGTAAACAACATCTTCTTGGATTCTGATTTCTAATCCATTCTCCAAACTATTTACATTTACTGTGTAAGTTCATCTCATTCTTATTCATAGTTATGATTGCTAATTGTATATTTCCCTCATTCCTTTTATCATTGTTATCATCACCACCACAACCACCACCACCACCACCATCATCATCGTCATCATCATCATCATCATCATCATCATCATCATCATCCCCATCCTCTTCTTCTTCTTCCTCCTTTTTTCTTCTCCTTCTTGTCCTCCTTTACATTTCCCTCCTTATTTTGTTCTTACTCCTCCATCACCTCCTCTTTTTCTTCTCTCTTTTCTCTTGACCATCTTCAAGACATTTTTGTGGCTGTTTACAGCCTCCTTTAATCTATCTTCCCTCTTGTCGCTGCTCCCTGCTTTCCCTTTTCCATTTCTCCTCCTACTTCCCTGTTGGGTAAAAAGAATTCTGTATCCAACTGGGCTTGTATGTATAGTCTTCATTCTTTGAATCAGTACAAATGAGGGAGATTCAAGTATTGCCCTTTTCCCCATCTCATTTTCTCTTCTATTGGAAAAACTCTTCCTTGTGTACCTCTTTTTTTGTGAGGCAATTGGGGTTAAGTAACTTCCCCAAAGCAACACAGCTAGTAAGTTTATGAGGTCACACTTGAACTCAGGTCCTTCTGATTCCAAGGTTGGAGCTCTATCCACTGTGTCACCTAACTGCCCCCCTTGTGCACTTCTTTTGAGTGAGATGATGTTACCCATTTTTCTTCTTCCTTGCTTCTTGTCTTAGTACATCCTTCTTTCTCAGCCTCCTATTTTTCTCTTGAGACACTTGTTGACATAATCGGCTTATGTCGTCTAAGTAGACTATTTCTTACTACCCTAAAATGATAATAAAATTCTTGCTGGTTACAGTATTATTTTCCTATCTGTGAATGTAAATGTACTACTTTTTAAGTACTTCATGATTTCTCACTCATGTTTACCTTTTTACATTTCTCTTGAATCTGGTGTGTGAATGTCACATTTTCTATTCAGCTCTATCTTTTCATCAGGAATGCCTAGAATTCCTCTATTTCATTTTTGCCTTATAAGATTATACTCAGTTTTGCTGAGTTGGTTGTAATCCTACCTACTTTGACTTTTGGAATATCATATTCTTAATCTGCCATTCCTGGATCTTGGTAGTTGGTAACCTTGTGAAATCCAGACTGCCTCCACAATATTTGAGTTGTTTCTTTCTGGCTACTTGCATTATTTTCTCTTTGACCTGGGAGCACTGGGATTTGGCCATAATATTCCCAGGACTTTTCATTTTGAAATCTTTTCCAGAACTGATTGGTGAATTCTTTCAATTTCTACCTTGTGTCTGGTTCTGTAATATCTGGGGAATTTTCCTTTCTAATTTTTTAAATGTTATGTCTAAGCTTTTTTTTTCTTTTTGATTATTGGTTTTAGGCAACTCTAGAATTCCTAAATTGTTTCTTCTGGTCTGTTTTCCAGATCAGATGATTTTCTGATGAGATATTTGACATTTTCTTCAAGTTTTTCATTTTTTGACTTCATTTTTTTCCCTTGATGTTTCATGGCTACCTTAGTTTCTCTTTGACCAGTTCTAATTTTGAAGGATGTATTTCTTTAGTGAGGTTTTAGACCTATTTTTCTTACCTGGCCAATTTGTAATTTAAGGAATTATTGCCTTCAGTCATTTTTTTGTGCTTCTCTTTCTATAACTGTCTTAAGTGTTCTCATTTTCCACAAACTTTTCATCTATTGTTCTTACTTAATTTATAAAATATTTTTCCTTTTAAAAAAGATCTGTTTTTTAAGTTCTTCTGGAAATTTTGAGGGCCTTTTGTCCAATATAGAGTTTTCTTTCAGGTTTTGCTTGCAGATGTTTTCTGACATGAAAAATGACTTTTTTTTTGAGTTTGGACATTAAACTTCATTGTCATCCTCACATATTTTTTATGGTCAGGTTTTTTTTCTTGCTCATGTTTTTCAGTTCTTTTCTTGGCTTTAGACATTCCATTAAAGTTGGATTCTGCTCACTTCAGGTCAGAGGTAAGATTTCACTGTCCCAAGCTTCAGGCTTTTTTGCCTTGCTGTTTTAACAGTTAATTTTGGGGTCCTATATGTTTTTAGTACTTCAAAGTTGGTGTGATTCAAGGAGAGGTGTGGTCACTGCAATCTGTTTGGCACTCTGGTGCTTGCCATGGTAAGGCTTTTACTCACTCATGACCACTACTCCTCTCATCCCTCGAAATTGGACCTGGAACTGCATAATGTATAGTTAAATGGTGCCTGATCCAGTGGATAGTCCTAGAACAGGAGTCCCCTGGAATCTCCTTTGACCTCTTATTATCTGTATGCAGTGAGAGCTTCTGGTATTGCTGCTGCCATGACGACCTCTAAGGCAAATTGCTGATGTCACTGTTAAGCTTTGCTTTTGTCCACCCCCACTCCTGTGACACAAACCTTTCCT